GTGTTTACTTTGTCTACTATGAAATGAAAACTATTTAGAATGTGACTAACATACAAAGGAAAATTAAGAAACCACTTGGGCATGGTTCTGATATTACTTGTTGATCATTTGCATCTACTTCAATCCGATGCGTTATTTAGAGAAATATTGATTGAAAAGATAATGTAGAATATTTATCATGCATGTCAGGAGTATATATATGTATATATATATGTATATATATGTATATTTATATATGTATATATATATGTATATATATGTATATATATGTATATATATTTGTATGTATATATATGCATATATATATATATATGAATAAATATATAATTATATAATTTATTATAAGTAGTATTCCATAAAGATATAAATATGTGAGATTAATAATTACAACTTAAAGGGGTTTTACGACAATCGACATTCAAGTGAAGAGAATGACCGATATGATAATGTTTGAAACAGTGAATACTGTAATACCTTCTGTCAATGCGGTCAATGCCAGAGGAAGCTTAAGCAGTGACAAAGAATTAATGAAATCCGTCATATTTCCTTCGCTGATTTTACGTCTGTCTTCTAGATTAGTGATCATTCTCCAACTGTCGGTATACATCTTACGAGGTGTATTATACAATCCGTCGATCTGCGCCACGTTATCTGTAGTCAAAGTCTTCCCCAATTTCATTAGTTTTTGTCTGTGTGCTGTGAAACTTGTTGAAATGGTTCCTTCTTTAACATCCGGGAATGATGGCAGTGTTTCTTGGATCTTCTTTTGAAGAGCAAAATGTCCAGTTATTCTGATGGTGTCATACAGTAGAGTAGGATCCTCTGCACTCAGCTTACCACGTACAACCAATTCATTCAGCAAGTCTATCGTATTTATTTCTGCTAGTTTCACATTGTCCACCGTATCTCTGAACAACACTTTCAACATACTAAGACATCTGTTTTCATCGTACCAGTTTGAGACAACCATTTTAAGAGCATTGAACTGCATGCCTGACATTTCTATAAAACAACATAAGAAATTATTACACTGCTCTGTATGCATTTAATGTACATTTTTTCATACATACTAATTACCTACAGAATTGACAAAATGAATTTAAACGGCGTCTCCCATAAACACAAAATTCGCCCACTTTAAATAAACAATGGAAACCAATAATTTCTTTCCCATCTCTTTTTTTTTCATTTGAAATATGAATTTTAAGGATTCTTGTTATTGTACAGTACATTTTACATAAAACAATAAGTTTGGGTAAGAATAACAGTACATTTTACATAAAACAATAAGTTTGGGTGAGAATAACATTGTTATTATACAGTACATTTTACATAAAACAGTAAGTTTGGGTAAGAATAACATTTTACTAATAATAATTAACAATATTACAATCATATAACGTGTTGGTTTTCTGGCGTGGACAAGGGCTTCGCATGCCGGGCAAAGCATGGCACCACTATTGTGCCCTAAGCCCTCTATGCAAAACTTTTTTATTTCTTATTAAAAATGATGTTATAGAATTTACCCCCAAAACATACAGACTATTTCTCATAAAATATTACCATTTTCTGGACGAATTCATCGTTACTAGGCAAATTCAGAGGTTGTAGATCACATCCACTGGAATACTCTGGCTTTTATGTATACTTTTATACAGTCAATAAAGTGCGCCCTCTCTAAGAATCTAAATCGAGGTAAGGCTAGGCCTAGCCTAGCAGCGCTGGATAGGCTAATGTTTTCGGCGCCTACGATATTTCTTCTCACGACCTATCGCAAAATCAAAATGAAAAAATTCATCCGCATTTATTTTTTGTGTGGAACACAAAAAAAATCAAATTTCAGTCTTATTTTACATTTTTTCATTCTTAGGAATGTCTAAATTCAGTTAAACTAGCAATTCCGTATAATATTTATAAATCTTTATAACATTATACAAAAATTAGATTTTTCTTAAAAACTGAAACTTTGCCGGGAATGGGGCTTTAACGTGAATGGCGCAGTTGGACATGTGATCATTTTGTCCCCAGTTCAATTCCACAACACAGTAGACTTACTTTCTGGTAAGTCTTTTGAGATGAATCAATACATTCCTTGCTTTAGCTGCAATATTCGCGAGAATAATTACGAGCAAAGCCACGTATTACAATGTTGCCCACGATTTTACAATTACAACATCAACAAATTTACCTGGCAATCGCTCTCCATGTGTGGAATCTGTTAACACAGGCCTACGAAGTTGATCAGTAGACAAGAATTTATCTTGAACTTCTACAAGTATATAAATAATATGCATTTCACATAGATTGTTACTCATTTATTTAAAAAAATAAGTGATAATTTATTTAGACTTAGATGTAATTTTTATTTGTTTTTTCAATATATACAGATGAATAACAGGCATTGTAGACCTATGGTGTGATAAATTTAATCTCAAATTTATGAAGTTTAAAATGGAATGATGTGTTAACAGCAAAACAGACCTACTATAGGCTATAGTAAGGATGAACAACCGCTCGAAATGAATGACGTCTTAAACACCAGTAGGACAGCAAGGAACATCCAGTCAGCTATAGCTAGCATCAACAACACAAATGCACAATGATCGGTGCTTACAGTTTAATAAATTAAGTTTTTTTTAATGATGGTCAGATAGGCCTACATAATTTTCGTTTGGTTAATGTTGTTTCAATGTAAATACCCCAACATGATGTATTTTTATTTACCTCTTTAGGTTTATCTTTAGTAACTTTCTGTTTCACTCTTTTTATTATTGTTTAGTTCTAAATATTAAGCATAACAATTGGGTTTCTATTTTTTATATTGAATAAATTCAATGAAGAGATAAAATGAATAAAGGTAGGCCTATTGTATAACAAACTGACACTAAATAGAGAATAAATGAGATATTTTGTACAGGTCAGATAGGCCTACATAATTTTCGTTTGGTTAATGTTGTTTCAATGTAAATACCCCAACATGATGTATTTTTATTTACCTCTTTAGGTTTATCTTTAGTAGCTTTCTGTTTCACTCTTTTTATTATTGTTTAGTTCTAAATATTATGCATAACAATTGGGTTTCTATTTTTTATATTGAATAAATTCAATGAAGAGATAAAATGAATAAAGGTAGGCCTATTGTATAACAAACTGACACTAAATAGAGAATAAATGAGATATTTTTGTAACAAAAACCAACCTTCTTGGAAAAAGACCTTATAACGAGATGTGTTCATTTTATACTTTCCACATGAAACCCAATCTTTTTCTAAACATTTGTCAAGATTATGTAAATGAGGTTGCTGCGTTGGTGGACATACGCTGCACAAGACGCGCAACTCGTAACCAATCCCTACTGTTGTAACATATACAGTCTTCAGTTGATGCTTAAGGTAGTTTAATACCTAAATATTAAATTAGGAAAAATATTATTGTCTCTAAATCATGTAGAGTATACATTTTGCATTGTACTCTACGTAGTAGCACGGTGGGCAGTGAAACTGTGCAGTATTTCTCACATGACAAATACCATTGGTTCTCATTATATAACCGAATTAGAATTACAGGCATTATTCTTGTTATCATCACCACCATCATCATCAACACCATCATCATTACCATATGAGAGTTTCCTGATGCTAACACATAGGCCTATCGAAATATCATCATTATCATTATTATTATTATCCTCAATATCGTATGATATTTTGACGCAACCACGCATAAAAAAATCATAATTATCATCATTATCATTATCAAAATTATTATCTCATTTTCATCATTGTCATTATGACTATTTTTATTTGATATTAACAATTGATTAACAATTAAAATGTATGTACCTCCAGACACACACTCGGGTGTGGTTCTGATAGTTCACCATTTGCATCTTTATCAATCCGACGCGTTATTTCAAGCTACAAGAAAATACGTTTAAAAAAAATTATAATAATAATAAAAATAATAATAATTAAACAAAAGTCTGAGCAGATGAAATTTATTATCTACAATAATAACACTGTAATATGATTATTAACAACAGCAATGGTAATAGGCTTCCTATATTACTACTTTAAAATTCTAAAAAAATATATAATGACATAACAACTACAAATCAACAATAGCAATAATGGAAAATTACATTTATTATTATATTCACACAATAGATGACGTACCTTCAATGCATGCATGTTCTTGATTTTGACGGCTCCCAGACTCACTAAGTGATCATCATCGAAGTCAAAGTCACTACGATTCCGAAACAATTTTGAATCATCGCTTCTAAATTTCTTCTTCATCAAGTCGACAAAGGCAACGACTAATACACTGTAGACAGCATCAGGGAGGAAGTCTGTTGGAGTCACGTAGATTGATACCATCTCCTTTTTGTCTTTCTCAACTTCCATGTTCTTGTCCTTAACGATACTCATTAGACAAGGGACGATGAATGTTCGATCATCTTCTTCAGATTCCTTAATTAAATGAGTTATTAAATGTATATTAAATATATGTATTGTATATATATTTTATTACACTTGCAGATTCTTCTTAATTAACATTTAACGTTCAAACTTTATATATCATTACAGCATTGCCACCAAACAATTTGGAGTTAATCTCTACCTATCTACAGTATTATAGTGTATATATATATATATATATATATAGCTCTGGTTCTATATATATATATATTGACAATTTCGTATGAATGCATACATACATACATAGGCCTACCAAGGTAATTCAACAGAAGGACGCACATCTCCGCTCTCGAACATAGCGCGTGCGTACAGTCCTTTGATCTTTACTGTGGCATCGACAATCAGGTACTAGTTGCCGTCAATAATTAGTATATGCGTGCCATTCGTTTTATGGTGTTAATTTTTATTTTATTAATTTTGGGTACTTCACAATGTCTGTTACATCTGATTTTTTTTTACCGCGAGCTTGTTCAATGCTTCTATAAACTGCAATTTGATTTGTGAAAATTGACCAAGAAAATGAAAAGTTATAGCAATTTAAATTTTACAAATTTTATGAAATTTCATGTTCTTATATAATATTAATCTGTCATTTTGACAATGTTGGCATAAAGTGCCGAAAACGAACATTTGAGTATATACAGGACATTTATTAATTTTTACTGTGAAGTGAGTCTCATGAACGACAATTCACCACAATTTTGGTAAAATTAATGTTGAAATGAAGAATATATTTCAGTCTAATGTTAGTGCAAAATATCATTAGTCCTTTGTAATCACCGCACGACGCGCGATTATCATGGCAACTAACACGGGCGTGGGTAAGGTTTATGGTCTGGTTGCTTTTGTTTTTGTGACGTTCAGCGTGTAGGGACGCACGTGCGCCTAGAATGTCGATGCCAGAGTTATAACCTTTGATGTCTCGAGATGTGCGTCCTTCTGATGAATTGCCTTGGGCCTACATACAGTACATGATAATCAGAGACATTAACTTACCTTCTGTTTCTCAAAGAGCAATCCAAAAACCTTCATCAGTTCTATAAAGACTTCAAAGTTGCTTTCGTCTTCCTCTAACTCTTGCTTCCACAGATCACGCAGCAATATCTCACTCAGAATGCCTTTATCAAGAAGATGCCATGACTTCATCATTGCAGGTCTCTAAATAAAATAAAAATCAACAAAAACATAATTTTATTAACAACAGTGTTCAGGGGATTTTAAAACCACCTTTTTCATTTTAAGGCACATTCAGTATTTCTTCTAGAACAGGTTAGCTGTGTAATTCAAAAATGAATGGTCATTAATGTAATCTTAATTAAAAATGGATTTCGTATACTACATTTTAAAATGTGTATGGTCTATCCCGCACGCAAGTTTACTTGATTGTTAATAGTACCTTATCTTCTGTTGTAATTACTTTCGTGAAGATTTCAATCAACATGAGGACGCTAGTAATCACAGTGTTCTTCAAATTGATATTTTTTGGAGTATACATAATTACTCCACAATCATTTAAATAATTGAGAACGTGGATGGTGTTTTCGTTCGGAATTCCACAATCGACAGCAATCTCATTGACCTAAAAAAATATTGAATAAAATATTAGAAACACTCTAATAGTTGTCTATAACTATAAATATAACCAACATAAAAATATTCATGACAGTGAAATGTTATTACATCTAACCTTGATATAGAAAAAATAAAAATAATTAATAATTAATAATAATAATAATAATAATAATAATAATAATAATCACATTTATTATAATTAATTCTAAAATATTTTTCTCACAATTTTATAGAATGTTTATGAGGCTAAGGAAATTTCGGAAAAATACGGCAAAATGGTACCTCATCTAAGGACATGCGCAGTGTTGTTTTCCCGACTTCTTGGATTTTCGACTGGAAATCAACCCATTTTGTGGGAACTTTTTTTGCCATTTGCTTTGTGTAACCTCCGAGATTTTTTTTTAATTCTTCAATCCCTTTGTCATTTGCTGATGTATTATCTACAGCATACATCGTTCTGTCAACGTGAAGTTCGAAAGGCATCCCTTTGATTTCTTCAAATATTATTTTGAATATTGCTTCAATCTTTGAATAAAATTAAATAGTACAATTTCATTTAAATTCATTTTACCTGTATTTTCATACATTGAAATTTACAAAAACAAAGCACATTAGAACATCCAAAATTGGAATTCAATGACTTAGAGTGGGGAACTTCCTAACAACGGATTGCTTATAGCCCGTTTACTGTTCTGTTGACTTTGTAGTGCAGAATTCTGGAAGGCATGGTAGTAGCTGTAGAAAACTGTGTGTACGGTGTAGACATTGTCCTGAAAGGGTTTGGAGTTTAATAGATTGGATGCTCACCTTCCAATCTCAAGGTCATTGTTTAAATCCTGTAGGATCCCAGGATATTTCACTCACGATTAAAAATAAACTCCATAAGTCTCATTATGAGTTTATGTAAAGCACCATGTGTTTATGTTTGTCATTTGAAGGGATTGCCACCTATTTAATAGGACAACGATTTAGTTGCTATGGGAAAATAAAATAAATTTTAAGGGTGGGTGATGATAACATTGGTAAACTTTAAATAAAATAAAAGTGGATTTCAATGATGGACATAGGGGTAAATAAAGATTTACTTTTGGGTGGAGGGCCATAAAAATAGCCTGAGGACTGGGACTGGGAGGAAAACTTGAAGCCCAGGTTGCCAAGCCTACCGCCGTAAATCATAACTATTTTCCGTTGAAGACGTTTTGTTGACTCGTCCGGTGAAGATACTCAACGGACGGGTCGGCATGTGGGAGTCTATTCTTGTCTGTTAGAGGATTGGGACTGGATGCTACATGCTGTGTCGATGTTCCGGTGGACTGGAGAAAGTATTTTCTTCCCCTGCCTCTGTTTAATGATGCTCCATTACTTAGTGTCCTGCTGGGTGAAGTGACGTAGGTTTTTTTTTTTTCTTTTCTTCTCGTCAGGTTATTTAATTGTCGTTTGATGTATTATGTTATTTTGGAAATATAAATTTAAAAAAAAACAATAATAAATATATTCCAGTGGTGAAGATCATCCTGAACACTTAGTCAAATGCGTGCAAGGTTTCGTTTTTTGGGGTGTTTTTTGCAGTTTTTCTGCTAATTTTGAATTTTGTCATCATTATCACCAACATCACCGTCATTGTCGTCATGGCCACATTCAAAAAGGCAAATTCTTGTAAAAGAAATTTTCAATAAAATACTTATTTAAAAATCTAGTGTTAAATAACTACAATACAATATTAGTATTAGCAAGGCCACTGATATACATACTTTTAGAACCATGTGGGGATTTGTTAATACTTTGTTTACGTAGAGATTAAATTTATCATGTTATGTATTAACAATTTTTTTTTAATTTTTACATTACACAAAATTTGACTATACTTATGTCTAAAACTGCGATGTAATATCTTACCTGATTCTGTTTATTCTCCTCACTTCCCTCTAACTTGTCTTTGTGAGTGCCAACCAAACTGATTGTGGGTGAGGCTATAGTGTCATTTATTAATTGCGTACTTGCATTATATTGTAGTACAGCGTGCTCATATATTGACCGTATCCAGAAAATAATCATTTGGAGATTAGTCATTTCAAACCGATCCTGATAAAAAGAAGAAAGGAATAAGGAAGAGTAAAGAGAGAAAATAAAATGAGTGTCATAGATAAGACTATTAAATTACAAAGTTACTCAAACTATCTATACAAAATATAAGAACATAGTTAATATACAAAAAACAGATATGATATGCAATAAGTTATTGGAAACTAATTCTCTTTTATTGCATATTAGAAAAGGTGAAATGATTTATTTACTTTTAGTGGACCTCTTGATTTTGCCAATTCATTTAAAGGCTCAAACAAACTAAAAGCAACGACATATGACGATCCATCTGTCAAGAAAAACCGGAAAGGAAAAAATAAGTACGTAAACACATGATCGATTAATGGAAAAATATTCAACATAAAGTAAAATTAAACATCACCTAAATGTCAACTGATCATTAAAAGAATATTAAATCAACGCTTACTGTATTTTGAAAGTTCTTGGTTTAAGTGCGTAAACTAATTATTGTTGTTGAGTAGATATGCGTCGTTATATCAACTATTATCAGCACGATCGCTATTGTATTATCAATAATTTTAAGGACACAAATGAAAGTAGTCATATGGGTTATCCTTGGCTTTGTTCGTTCCATGATTAAATATTTTTCTCTGTTTGTAAGTTTCTATGGCATTAGCGTATTTTATTTTGTTTAATAATTTTACCGTATCTAAATAACATTTTCCAATTTACTCTTCATTGTAGATTTATGTACTTATTATTTTAATACATGTTGATGTGAATAAGTAATGTTGCTGTAGGCTATTTATCATATTTTTATATGTATTTTTGTTGCTTCATTGTAGTGGTGCAACAAACATTATTATATTTAAACATCCACGAACTCTCGAGTGAACACTACGTTAGTGGCTATAGGCCTAATGATAATTGGCTTTAAACTTTAATAAATAATATAATTTAAGCACCTTCTCAATTTATTGAACAGTATGTGATTGGCTATAGTCATATGGTTGAGATTAAACTTTTCAGACGACCAATTTTTCTTTATTATTAATTATTCGCGTTTATTATAACATCACATTTGAAAGAAAAACAAATCTATTTCTGATACAGATAATCTAATATCCAGTGTCGATTACAATAATATTAGAATGTAGCCTTGTACACTATAATCAGTAAAGTGCTATGCTACTTACCCTATGAGTTATATAATATGAGATTTGGCCTGCATAATCCCATATACATGTTACATCACTAGGTACATTTTCAACAACACGTTCAAATCGTGCATCTTTGTTAGTAGGCTTGTTTCTCGTTATTTTCATGAAGAATCGTTTAAAAATGCCGGCTTCTGGTTCTTCTGCGCTCCTGCTTGGTTCAGGATTCTGGCGGTCAAGATTAGCTACAACTTTTTTAAAAATTTCTTCTGGGAGTCTATCGAACTGTCTAGTCGATACATTTGCAGCACTCTGAGACACTTCAGAAGTTTCTGAAAAAAAAGGAAATAAAATTCGAACTCATATATATTTTGAGATCCGAAGAGATGGTCTGAAGATGGATGATGGTGATGACAATGGAATACAATACTAAATTAATGAGGATAATGTAATAATAATTGAATGATTATGATGATGATATTGAATGAAATTTATGAGGAATGGCAAGAAAAGATAAGATAACCATGAGCAATATTATGTTACTGCTTAAAATGTACTGTACGGTATGTGGAATTCTAAAATCTAGGATTATCGACAGAAAGATGAAAGGGACACGTGAAAATCTGAGTGGGGGAGGGCTTAATTATCAAGTAAATGCGCGTAAGATGGCAAAATTAGAGAGGGAGGGGGAGGGAGGAAAAGAAAAATTACAATTCATCGGGGAGGAAATACAATATAGCTTTTACATGCCTTTGAAATAGCTAAACTTTAACTCCCGGTAGCTTTTCACTGTATCCCTTTTGAGCGATGCCTGACCACCTTATTACGCTCTCGTCAGGGAAATGTTTAAGTTTATTTAGCTGGCATTAAAAAAATAGACAACGTGCAATGTAAAAGCAAACAAGGCTGCCCAATATCCCTGTAATGATATAAGGGAAGTGATGAACAGTGTTCTTAAATAATAAATACCTTTTTCCTCTGAAGTTAGACTTGTAGCTTCTTCTGATGTTTCCTGCAATAAAATAGTTTGTAAAAATTGTATAGTAGTTGGTAAATTATTATTATTTTAATCATTATTTTTAGTTACTCCTATGTAGATAAAACACTACAAAATACCGTAAAACGGCCAGGTGACGAATCAAAAATAAGGGGATTAATGTCAGAAGAACGTTTTAGAAAGTGGGGGAGGGGTAATTAATCCAGTATGCGAGCATAGCGAGCATCTAGGCCTGTTGACCGGGGGAGGTGCTTGTTAGAAGCTTAGAATATTTTACCAATTTATATGAATTTTATTAGCTATTTTATTAGGCATGAATTATTGTAATATGAATTCATAATTGTCTAATGACAAAGTCGAAATCGAGACTGCTTCCACGATTCCAATGAAATCTTCCAGGCATTATGAGGGTATCCTTGATGAAAATTAACACAAATAGCTCAATGAGGAAGCTAGCCTAAACGAAATTCCGACCTTATACTAAAAAAAAATATTCCACGACGAGACCTTCTAGTGTTAGACGACGGGGCCCTTAAAAATAATTTTAAAAATACTCTTTTATAAGCCCGGAAATGGTACTTTAATATTAAACGTTTAACATAGTCTATCATTTGTTTTACCTATTACTATTTCTTAATGCCAAGCGATTAGTATTTTTATGCAATACAGTTTTTATAATATATAACACATTTTAATTACAATTTGTACTAAAAAAACTGTAGTTAACCTTTAGAGAACTTTATTTTAATAATTTGTCTAAATTAGTAAAATCTTATTGTGTTTGTTTTATATGAAATTTAAATGTGATTACATTGTATATGGTCATGAATTTAGTAATAAATGTCTCGATATGTTTGAAAAATTACATTACAGTTTCTACTCGTAGTCTACGTATGAGCAAAGATATCTTTGATTTGAGGCTTATAATGACCTAATTGAATTTGACCTTCGTTGATGGTTGATCTAGCAACACATTAGCTTGGTTCACATCGGTTATTGTCGACATAAGTAGATAAACTATTTAACAGCACTACACTCTTAATTGCGTTCGATGGTCCGAATTATGTCGAGATACCTTGCTGGACCAACTACGCTCACGAGAGCGGCAGTTGTGATCCCGGTGTGACCAAGATCACGCATTCGTACAGCCATTTGCTCATGAATGGTAGCTTTTTGTCTGTACATTTTATCTTCCACCAAATGTCAATAAGATCGAATTCTTCTTCATAAGTCCAACAATGTCGCTTTTGGCGTACTTTCTCGGTCATAATTGATATAAAGATCTAAGCTAGGCCTACACTGAAAAACCTCTCTCGAACGATCAAAATAAACTAACGTACAAACAAGCAAGCTTGCTAAGGGTCAACCGGCTTCGTTCTGATTGGTGTATTCGTGACCTGAGGCCACCCGTGGTGCGTTATCAACTCGACGATGACTGGATTTAAATGGCCGGCCTCGTTCACATACGAGCGTACAATACGCACACACACGCGCAAAATAACATGCTTGAAACGATAAAATTATCTTTGAAAGCAGTCAAGGAGCGGTTCATTCATGAAAAGATGATTTACAAACAAAGATTATTAAAAGTGTACATAATTTTAGTTAGAATTGTTGAAATAGAGTAATTTAAAATTGCTTGAATTAGTCAGCTTCCTTTCAATAACGTTGAGATATATGTAACACCAAGCTGTCCTTTCTATTTAAATAGATAAAATAAGGCTTCAATTTCACTTACTGCTTTCCAAGGATGGAATTTACAAGGCTGGTTTTACCAGCCCCTTCCTTTCCTAGAAACATCACTCTGCTATTTACCAACGTCATTTCACCTTTTTCAATTTCATTGACGAATGCAGTAACTGCATCTTTTCCTCTGGCTTTAATTTGTGCAGGAAGTGTCATGTCTTAAAATAAAAATATGTCTGTTTCAAGTACTGGTATATTACATTAACTTTAAATCAAAATTAAATAAATCTTTTAAATATTCACTCTAAATAACATTGTCATAATAATATAGATAAAAAATATTGGAAAAATGCCAATGTGTAGGCCCTATGTAGCCTTTTTCAAAATCAGAATTAAAACTTGAGTATATTTATTAGGCGTTCATGTACAGACTATAATATACCGCAGATGATTAAATTCTTAAATATACAATGGGTTCGTCAATATACCTAAAAGTAACTTTTTCAGTTCTTCCTTCTTCTCTCGTCTGATCGATCGACCGCCGTATTCACCACATTTATTCTTATCATACAAATCAAGAGGCGTCTTTCCTTTCTGCAATAACAGACACGAGTACACAAAAGTTGTATTTCATTCGATGACAGTTTCAATTGAATATTATGAAAAGAATTATTAAATATTCCAATTAGTGTAAAGAATCCAAATCAAAATTAATAAATACATTTTAATTTAATATTAATATTCATAAAATTTAGCAAAATAATATTTTCAAAGTATGCAGCAACACTATTAGCATCAAGATAATTTGTTATCACCAAATTTATTGGTACAAAATAATTTAAAAAAAAATATTTGTAGGGTACCGGTATTATTTATTTTTTTTTATTTTTTTAGATTTGATATTTCTCATGTTTGTTTTAGACACATGAAATCTTTCTAGTAGTAGTGCCTCCTGATATACAGTTATTGTATTAAAGCCATTGACTGGTATCCGTTTGATGATGCATTCTTATTTGTATATGTACATTACGTTGTCTTTTATTAATAATGCGCCATGTTCCATGAGGCACATTGCCATTTCGCGGTGTTCTTCATAAAGGCAGTCCTCATTATTTAGACATTCATGTAGTGGTGTGTGTCCCTTCTGCAATGAAAGTATAATCAATGTCAAGTTTGCTGTCAAGTAGAGACACAACACAAGAATATGAATTTACAAATATTACGTCGACGTAAAGCAGCTGAAATAATTATTAATTATCGTACTTAATTATTTCTCATTGTAATCATTATAAACATGATAATGATAATATAAAATAGAATATTAATTAAACAAATAATGATGATGGATACTAATCATGGTAATTAGAGTTTGTTGTTAAGTACAGACACAACACAAGAATATGAATTTACAAATAATACGTCGACGTAAAACAGCTGAAATAATTATTAATTATCGTACTTAATTATTTCTCATTGTAATCATTATAAACATGATAATGATAATATAAAATAGAATATTAATTAAACAAATTATGATGATGGATACTATTCATGGTAATAGTAATAATGAGAATGTTTGTGAATTCATTTCAATAATCACGACAATATTTTATGATGATGATAATACTGAACGGAACATTATTATTTTTCAACTAAAATATACAACAATATTAATAAATAGAATGTGATGACAAAATATGTTGTGAATTCAAGGATGTTAATTTGTTTACAATTAATAAAAGTGTTGTTTTATTACACTGTACTTACGTTGTCTCTCCCATTAACTTTGATGCTTGATTTTTGCAGCGCGCGTCTTAATGATGATACACGTTTGGGTAGAAAGGTAACCATCGCCAAGTAATGGAGAATAGTTCGACGCACCTGCAAGTGAAACGTAGAAAATTATAAACACAGGAAAATAAACTACAAGAAATTATGGCACAACATAAAAACAAAACAAACGTCTCAGTTACATTACCCATACATTAATTATTACACTCGTTATTATTAGATACTAATTTAACATAATTTAGTATATTTTAAATGATGGTTATAATGTAAAATCGCGTAAATATTGTTTGAATCAAAAGGTCTATGTTTTACACTATATTCAAATATTCTTTCAAATTCGCATTTTTAGCGATTGAACTTTTGGTGTAAAATATCAATTGCATTGTCATTAATATATTCAGTAAACTATATTGATAAAAACAAATCCAAACATAATTACTTTCTCTGATTATAAATTTTTTTTTCAAGTTTTTATTGAGTAAATAGTGTTCATGCCCATAACATAGGTTTTTTAGTGTTGTAAAAAATCAGATAAATTAAATAGTAAAATCATAATTTTTAGTTTTAAATAAAATATATTACTGTAATCTACCTTGAGTCATTATTAGATACTAATTACATAATGTAATATTTTTTAGATGATGCTTATAAAGTAGAATCGGGCAAACAATGTTTGAATCAAAAGGCACTATTAGACCTACTAGGTTACATTAATATACAGTAAATGCACATTCTTAGCGATTGAACTTTTTGTGTAAAATATTAATTTTATTGTCATTAATGTATCTAGTTAACCATACTGATAAAAACAAATCCAAACATAACTACATTCTCTCATTTTAAAATATTTTTTTAAAAGTTCTTAATCAAAAGGCCTATTTAAACACTATTATTAAATTATCATTTCAAACTCAGATATTTTAGCGAATGAACATTTTGTGTAAAATATAAATTTTATTGTCATTAATATATTGATTTAATCATACTGATAAAAACAAATCCAAACATAATTACTTTTCTCTCATTATAAAATATATTTTTTGAGAGTTTTTATTGAGAAAATAGTGATCATGTTCATAACATAAGCTTTTTAGAGTTAAAAAATGCATATAAATCAAATAATAAAATCATAATTTATAGTTTTAAATGAAATAAATCCTGTAACCTACATTGAGTGATATAAAATATATTGTTTGAAAGTTATTATTGAGAAAATAGTGTTCATGCAC